CGAAGCCACGCCGGGGACCGGCCCGCTAGGACCCAGATGGGGCTGGGAGGGCCCAGATCTGGGCCGGGGACGCGCCGTCGGCCACCACGCCGCCCTGCTGCCAAGGGCAGCACAGCCACCGCACCCACCGCCGGCGACCGCTGCCAGGTCGCCGGGCCGCCGCCCAGCCGAGCATCACCACCGCCGTCACCAGCTCCGGGAAGGAGACGAACGCGCAGGTACAGAAGGGATTCCAAGCAGACGGCTGATTTCTCGAAGAAATCTATGCCGGAGCATACGTGATCTTATCACAAATCTCCCGTCCACCTGTTTTTTCTCTCAATACAGATCGCATGGGAGCCGACAGGCACATCCATGCGGGCGCCACTGATGCAAAGCAAGTCCAGCTCTCGCGGGAGCTCGCGTCTCCTATGTCTTCAAAAGATTTTTCTTTAACACACTAAGAACACACACGCTCATATATATACGTGCATACATTCATTCCGATGAACGCACGCGCATATCATATTCCTATGAACATATTCAAGTGGCTAAGCCAACATATCATAGATTAACGAAGTCACAAAAGGCGTCTCGTAGTCATAGGTAACGTCTCATCTTTTTGAACGTACATCGCCAGAAATCCTAAAATAAATACAGAAATATATGCAAGCAACAAGACTTGAACCCCACTAGACCGGGGATACCACTTCTCCTGACCATTCAACCACATTCTCAAAGAAAATTAACAAAATTAAGAACAATGTTCAAACGGTTGGTCGGGGCTGCCCGGACATCTCACGGGAGGCAGAACATCCGGCTTGTGGCGATTGCAAGCAAACGGTCGCCTCCTACGCAAGGTTGCTTGGCCAGGCCCAGCAAAACGTTACGTGCGGGCACCCTCAGGGCATGTACAATGCGTCTATCTTAAGAATGTCATGTAGGATAAATAATTAGATGGAGGAGAGAGAAATCATAAGATAAGGTTTGTCTTCTCTTATTTAAGAGAAGACAAGAGATGATCTCCTAGCAAAATTTGTCTCATCATGTTTTTAGGAACAGCTAATTATTGAAGATAAGGCTAAGAAATAACCCATTGTAGACATGTTTTTTTGTCATCTCTAATTTATATGCAAGACTTAAGATAAAATTATATTATCAACCATTGTACATGCCCTCAGCGCTAGCCGCAGTCCCAGTTTTAGACATGCTTTAATTTTCCAACTAGACACCCTGCGCGTTGCCCGCCAAGCCGAGGCTATTTTCCCTCCATTTGTTCCTCTACCTCGTCGTCGTTGTTAGAGATATATTTAGGTTACTTGTATTTTGTAGTCTAGGATTTGTAATCCAAATTCTATTTTATTTTTGGGAGAGGTTTCTTGCTCTTCAAGTTTTGTACTCAATATATACTCTTCCTTAAGGCTCAATAATACATTCATCATATTTCACCAATCTCTCTCTCCCTTCTAACATGGTATCAGTTTCCGGGTTCTAAACCCTAGCCGCCGCCGCTTCCGCACCCGTCCGCCGACCCGGGGCGGTCGGTCTCCATGACCGCCGCCGGGGTCCGCGCCGTCCGTACCTAGGGTTCGTCCACCGCTCGTGTTGATCGGCTGCCCTACAGAGTCTTTTTCCCGAGCCCTTACTTCGGGTTTTTTTCGCTCTCTCGTCGGTCGATTTGATCGGCGTTTTTTCTTTTTGGTATTCGGATCTATGCTTGATCGGTTTGTGTCGCCCGCCGCCGCCGTCAACCCCGTGCGCCTCTACTCCGACGCCGGCGTGATCGGCCGCCTCTTCACCGACCCGGCGACCTCGAGCGACAGGCGGCCCCTAACGGCCGTTGTCCACACGTCTGCCCGCCCGTCGCCCCGATCAGGCGGCCTCGCGCGACAAGCGGCCCCTCACGGCCGCCGTGTGCGTGTCAACCCACTCGTCGATCTACGCCGGCCATCACCGTTCTGTCCCCGAGTTCAGTACGACCCTCCACCAATCAAGCAACAGCCTGCCGTTGCGTCGCCCCGTTGGACCGCAGCGCCGCCGCCCCGTGGTTCTCCCCATGGCTGTACCGATCTGCGCCGCCGCTGCGCCGCGGCATGTGATCCCCGCCGCCGCCCTGAGGCCTTTCCCGCGGTTGCACCGCCTCGCGCGCTGCCGCTGCGTGACTTCGGTCCGTAGTGCCGCGGCCCGCGGTCAACCGCCGCACCGACGCCGTCCCCGAGGCTACACCGACCCTCGCGCTGCCGCTGCATTGCCCCGTCGGGCCATAGCGAGCGTGGCACGCGATCCCTGCAACGGCCCAGAGGTCTTCCCCGCCGTTGTGCCGACCTGCCCGTCACCGTTGTGTCGCCCCTTCGGGCCGTAACGATGTGGCCCGCGGTCCACCTCCGTCCACGCGCGGTGACTTCCACGCGATATGCATCGCGCCGCCTCCCTTGGTGCAGGAACGTCACCGTCCACGCCGGTCTTCGTCACGCTGTCGGGTTCATTATCACCTACTTCGAGAACCGCCGCCGCGCTCCTTCTCTAGCCGCTGCCGCCGCTGCTCTTCTTCTGCGGCTCCACGGCGACTACCTCGACACCGGCGACCCCCGACTCGACACCGACCACGGTATTCTTCGCACGGCTACCTCGACCACGGCTACACCACCCTACGCTCTCGGCTACCTCGACATCGTCACAAAGGGTTATCATCCGCTTGAGCAACTCGTCGGCTTCCTCTACAATCAACGCGTCCGCGACGCGACGCCGTCCACGACACTCCGCTACGACTACGGGGGATGTCAGCCCGTCGGCTGCTATTCTCTCCAATCTGACCGTCCGCGATGCTCTTGATGTCTGCGACGCTACCGCTACGACTACGGGGGGATGTTAGAGATATATTTAAGTTACTTGTATTTGGTAGTCTAGGATTTGTAATCCATCTCCAACCTTATCTCCGGGAGAGGCTTCTTGCCCTCCAAGTCTTATACTCAATATATACTCTCCTTCGAGGCTCAATAATACATCTATCATATTGCACCAATCTCTCTCTCCGTTCTAAAAGTCGCCATTTCCTTCAAGCTTCAATGGGCAAAGCTCGTCACGAGTCGGCGGCTGTGGGGCATGTTTCCTACCGGTTATAGTGCTTCAATGAGCAGGGGAACTCAAGGCAGAGGGGAACGGGTGGTGGCCAGCGAGCGGCGCATCATGGCTCGCATCGTCGTGTCCCATGCTACAGCTGGAGGTGGGGTTGCAACAGATAGCTTGGCCACGGTGCTGGCGGACTGTGTGTGGATTTAGGGCATAGATCAGGAAGTGCCCGATATGCTCGTTCTGATCTCTCGAGGCGGTCTCCCACTCTCCCTCGATTCATGGTGGTGTGTCCACTTGCTGCTTCTTGCGGGGCATCGCCAAGGCGTGCAATGGTGGCGGCTGCTGCGCGAGCGACGCTTAGTAGTAGGCCTCACCATGGGGCGCGGCAGGCGTGACCGCAGGCTTTCAGCGGCGGCGTGACGATGGGTGTGCTCATAGTTGCCATGTTTTCGGTATGGTGGGAACGAGGAACGGGAACAAGGGACGAGAGTCGATGGCTGAAAAAATAGGGTACAATGAGGGTATACATCTCTAGAACGAATTTTAATAGCGGGGACGCGATCCAATCCGTTTGGGTACGATGAACCCGGTACAGTACCATGGGTCGAGCAACGCAGTTCCTGAAGAACGACGACTCCCTGACGGACAGCATTCCTTGTTGTTAATGGATCCCTTGCAATTAATGGACTTGAGGAAAAGCAAGGAGTCCTTGAGAAAAGAAACCACGGTGTGAGTAAATTATGCCTGGCGTTTTAGTTGTTGGATCCTAGAACCTGAATCGAGGAGCAGGCTGCGGGGACGCTGAATCCTCATCGAATCGTACCGAATCCGACCTCGTTCCCGAATCCGATTCCGGGTCGATGAATCGGGATCGAGGGACGGCCTACCGTTCCCCGTTTCCGGCTACTATGGGTGTGCCCGCGGGCGGGCACAATGTCGCGGTCGGTTGTGCGCTCCTTCTCTTGTGGTGGTTGTGCTCTGCGCGGGCATGCATCAGCGATGGTGATCTACATCTCGTGTTCTAATTTAGCCCATGTCGCTCCCAAGGCTAACTAGCTTGGGCAGGCTCTCTCGGATGATCTGGCTATCGGTGGTGGTGTGCTCCGTCGTCCGTGTTGGTCATTGTGGTGATCAGTCTTGCCTACAGCGGCAGCCTTCCTGTGGATCATAGCAGCAATCGAAAGGTCTTCGCACGAGTTCCACATCTCCAAATTCAGTGGTTGACTTCGACGGTGGGATGCAAGCTATGGACAATAACATGATGCGAAGAGATGGTTGTGGAGCGACGGCAGTTGCATCACATGTAGCTTCTAGGATCGAGGAAAGTGGTGGCGACAACACAAAAGTGACTTCGATGGTCGTGCCACTCGAGCACCTGGTCCCGAGCTTCAGGGTGAAAGTCTGGACCTGAACCGAGTTCGGTATACCCGATGTTTTTCCGTTGATACCATGTTGAAGGCATTGCTTTTATATTCTCGGATTGGTTCTTCGAGGTGAAAACGTAGATGCTGGCCTTTTATGCTTGGTTCCCGTGACGGCGGCGCTTGAGCATCGTTCTCATTGTTAAGGCGTTGCTCTTGAAGAACCTCTTGGATAAGATTATTGGTCGCTTTGGGTCTTTTTTTCCTCGCCTATCTATACTTTAGTCTATATGACTTTGCTATTTGCCGGCGTGTCTCGTGGGTGTGTGTTGATGTTGGCCGTGTGCTTTCCATATGTAGAGGCCGGGTGTATGCTCATTTTGCTTGCATCCTCTCGATGCTCCATTTTGAGATAATAAAATTCACCTGAAATTTGCAAGAGGAGAGACCGCTTCATTTTTTTCTTCTCTCCTGGTTTTCTTTACACTTCATTTTGGTTTTCTCTACTTTTTAGGTAAAATACACGTGTACCAGAAAAAATATTTGCAGATATGAAAAAAGTTCTCGTATATCTAAAAAAAATCTTGTACGTGTGCTAAAAAATGGTCATTGTGTGTCAAAAGTGTTCATCGTTTATTTAAAATTTGTTCACCGTGTATTAAAAGATGTTCATCATGTTTTTCTAAAACATTGATGTGCATTTCATACTGTATTTTCAAAAATATGCATAGTGTAATTTTAAGATGTTCATCGTGTAATACAAAAATATTGATCATGTCTTTTAAAAATGATCGTCGTCTATTAAAAATGTCTTTCATGTATTTCAAAAATGTTCTGCGTGTATCTTAAAAAAATCAACGTATTTTAAGAAAGATCATCGCGTATTCAGAGAGATGTCGTACAAGTATTTAGAAAGATGTCTTCACCGTAGGTAGAAGGTTCCCAAAAGAAGACGTAGAACTGCTGTTGAGCCGGCCCGTTTAATGAGCGCTGAAGGCGATCGCTCCTTCCATCTTGCAGTAAGCGAGATGTAGCTCTTTTTTTTCTGCCTCCATCAGGCGGGTCATGGGCCTTGCGCCACGCATGAAAAGATACACCCAACAAACACCTTCAGGAAAATTAGCACGTACCTTGTAAGTTTTTAAAATTAGCTTCAATTTTTTTTGTCAAAAGTAATAATTAGTACTTATGCCACCATGTACCATAAAAATTGCAAATTTAAAATTCCAGGTCATAGCACCACCGAACAAATAAAAGTGCAGTTGTATAATTTCGGTATCTCATAAACTTCCTCTAATTTGGTCTTGAAACCTAAAATATGAAGTCACCTACAACTAGCGAGTTTATGAGAAACCTAAAATAAGATGTCTACTAAATTTCTGTAAGCTTTGACTTTAAGTTCGTTTGCACCTGAGATGCACCTTTGCTATAACTAATACTCCCTCCGTTCAAATATATAGGGCATAATATGTTTTTTGAGCTGAACTTTGACCATGGGATAAAACATCCGTCAAATTCGTACGTGAAAGGACTTTTTAATTGACATAATATGCATCTCATATATTATTATTTTTTATCAATGGATAAATGCAACCATGAATAATGTATTTGGCCCTCTATATTTGGATGGAGAGTACATAAATTTCCTATGAAGATTTCAACAAAGACCTTTTTAAAATTTTGAATGGTTGGTTGGAAGATTGTTCAGCACACCTGTCGCGTTGTAGTGCAACACATAATGTAACACCGGTAAACAACCACACGGTAAAAGAGAAGGCAACAAAAAGGGAAGTCATAAATCATTTTTGGAGAAATACAAGGACTTATAGATGATAGTTTACTGAGACAAGCAGAGAGAGGTTTACCACACAGTAACTTGTTAGGCATTTTTTCTTAGTTATATTCTAAAACAATATGTGACACAAACTACGTCTTTTGAATGCTTTGCAGGAGACCCATTTCTATATTGGCATGGGGCGCAGGCCCGAATATGCGTATTTAACTATGAATTGGCAAGACAAATTCTTTCAAGCAAGTCCGGACATTTCGTGAAGAACGATGTACACCCTAATTTCCTGGCTTTGGTTGGTAATGGACTCGGGTTTATGGAAGGCGCAGATTGGGTGCGCCATCGTAGGATAATCAACCCTGTTTTCACCATTGATAAGCTAAAGGTAATGCCTAGATCTATTATATGTGTTGTGTCATGCTAAAAACTTGCATTTGCCTTAGCAGCAAGGCAAAAAAGGGCACAACTCGAATCAAACTTCACTGCTCCATCAACCTATTCTCCTACACAGGGTACAAATCTTAGGAGACATAACTATTGCAGATTCATAGATAAAGTAGTATCTGCAATATAATTAATCAATATTTCTTATCATTGCATGCTCTTTCGCTCGGTCTGTATCCGTCCATTCATTAATTAACATGATTACCGTTAGGTATTTAATAATGTATATCATGTTGTGCTAAATTTATGAAATACTATATATTTTTAACACTTATATTCATAACCCCCCCCCCCCCTCTTGTATTTTACCTACATGGTACTACAATATGTGTGTACTTGAAACATTAGCTCAGTTATGTAAACTCTCGTTTGTGTTGTGACATAGTATCAATCTAGATTTTAGCTTTCTAATATTATTTTATTAGCTGCTTATGTTTTTGATCCACATGTTAAGTTAAAACTCTAAATCTTATTGTACCTCTGGATAATTCTTTTTTTTATTTTGTTAAGAGATGGGCGCTCTTAATTACAGTGAAATAAGCAGTCATTTTAACCCACACCACAACCACTGAACATATTGAATTTTGTCTAGCTAGTAATTATATGTGTAATATTATTTTATAGAAAATAGAGTGGTTTAATTAAACTATCATTGTACATTTTCATAATATTTCCGTCACAGTGTGTGAATTTAATGAAAGTATTTTTTTACATAATTTTGTTTCATGGGGTGTTAATATAATGGTGTCATTAGTACAAGAATTGATAAAGGAACATTATTCATGAATGCCAAGCTATCGGAGTATGTACTATTGTGCATGCATGCGTGTTTACTTGGTCCGCATATGAAGACAGAAAATATATATGTTTATTTGCATTTAGTGTTTACATAGTGATTGAATGGGTACTTTAGGAACATATATGGCCGTAATGTGTGCTTATTCATTTTTCATATATTAGAAGATGCAGGTAATTTAAATAGGGGATATTTTTATTTTATTTTTAATATAAAAAGATGGGGTACTTTACATGCAAACTTAATGGGTTATGTAGATTATCGGTTGTAATGGTGAAGGGGGCAATTTATATACAAATTTAGAGGGTTACTTTAGATTATCTTTCATAAAGGCAGATGTGGGTTATTTAGATGTCTACATTTAGGTTGAGTACCCATGTTTGTTGTGGACTACCAAATGGATGGCCGGAAGTTTATGATTTTGTGATAATATCTAGGATTTATCTTTCTGGTCTGATGTGGTTAGGCTTAACATGGAGACTTCGTTGGGGCCTCCAATTAGTAGTAAGATGTCAGGACCGTAGAAATAGGAAGCATGCTAGGCTGTTATAAGAAATTGACCTCTAGTTGGTATTCATTGCAGATGATGACAAAAACAATGCTGGATTTTGCTGAAACCATGGTTAAGGAGTTGGAAGAACAAGCGTCTCGAAACGAGAATGGAGAAAAACAATTAGATATCAGTAAATTTTTCAGCGAGCTAACAGTTCATAATATATCCCATGCCGTCTTTGGAAGCAGTTATGAATTAGGAAATAAAGTGTTCCAGGCTCAAATTGACCTATTGAGGATCACTATGGAAGCTTTCCTCGACGTGCTGACACCAGGATTCAAGTAAAATCTCACCTTCCTTGAATTTATACCTTGTAAATAAGCGCACCTCAATTTTGCATAATCTTAGTTCTTTTTTAAACAGTTTTCATACATAGTTGTCCTTATGCATCTTCAATGTTTTGTTTCTTGATTCAGATATCTTCCTATTGAAAGGAATCGATGTAGATGGATGCTCGAAAGGGAGCTTAAGAGCCTACTCACACAAATCATACAACCACGATTAGCAACTATTGAATACGGAAATGATCTACTAGGTGTCATGCTTGACTCTTGCATTGAAACCAAGCAAGGAGGGAAGCAAGTGGATCTCAGCTTGAGCATGGACGAGATCATACATGAGTGCAAACAGTTCTTCTTCGCTGGTCATGACACGACATCTCAACTACTCACATGGTCTGTGTATTTGCTGTGCATATACCCAGAATGGCAGGAAAAGCTTCGAAAGGAAGTCTTGAAGGAATTTGGGAGGGAATCTCCTAACCCCAATGCGCTCAACAAATTGAAAGAGGCAAGAAACATATAGCTGTACATTCTTACTACAATTTTGTACTTCTATGATCATTTTAGAACACGTAGCTAACTAGTAGTGCAACAAGCTATATATATTGCAGATGGCAATGGTGCTCTTAGAGACCTTGAGGCTCTACCCGCCTGCTCTTTTCATGCAAAGGAAGACCGTGACCGATATGACAGTGGGATCAATAAAACTGCCCAAAGGCATATCAATTGTGATACCTATTCCAGTTATGCATAGGGACAAGGAGGTTTGGGGTGACGACGCAGATGAATTCAATCCCTTGAGATTTAAGAATGGGATCACGGGGGCAGCAAAGGTTCCACACGGCCTGCTAGCCTTTTCAATCGGTCCAAGGTCTTGCATCGGTCAGAACTTTGCTATGTTGGAAGCGAAGTCGACATTGGCCCTGATGCTCCAGAAGTTCTCATTCACCCTTTCCCCTGATTATGTGCATGCACCCGTCGATATGTTTACTCTTAAACCAAAGTTTGGTCTTCCGATATTTTTAAGGCCACTGGATAAGTGCAATTAGACTAGTATTTAATTTTTAATGCCGCCATACCTCCAAGAATGGATGAACCTGGGTTGTACTCTATGATACACAGTGTATGTACCCGAAAGAAGATATACAGTATATATATGTAGTGAATGTATATGACTGAGAAATAAAGGAAACAAAGGAGTAAACTGATATTAGTACTCTTGGTCATGTTCAAGAGTCATCTATTTAATATTTATTTAAAGTGTAAATTGCACCCACCATATAACAACTAGAGTGAATTCCGGTTTTACCCCCTATTTTTACATTTTGACATTAATTGCCCCATTTAGCAGGATTTCATCAATTTTACCTCATTAAGTAAAACTATTGCCACTATTTACCATGTTTGAATTTTTTGCGTTCTTACCATGGGTCCCAATTGTTTGGTCCAGCTGGCATGCCATATCGATGGGTGTTTCCCTGCCTGTTCTCTCAACTGAACTAGTCCTCCCAGCTTCTCCCGACCAGCTAGCCCGAGCTCTCCTTTTCTGGAGCCGGCTTAGTAGTGTGTACCGCACCAAAGGCCCACTCTTTGTCTTCAGCTACAAATCGCAACTCAGCTGTCCGGGTGAAAAGAGCAAAAGGTCAGCGACGTTCGGCTCGGATAATCTGGTTGCGCCTTTGGCCGGGGCCGTCCCCGCTTCCGCCGGCTGAACTTCAGCTGGCCGCGCCGCCTACCGTCCAGCCGGCTCACTGCCCGCTCGCTTGAACCTGACTCCTAAAGTCTAAAGTACTGTGCTCCCACCCTTGCGGCCCACTCCTTGCTACAGCTATATACCACATCCCGGCTGTCCGATTGGCGGGACCAAAAGCCAAAAGAGGCCGGGGGCGGACTTGAAAAAATAGCTAAGGGACTAAGGAAAAGAGCGAGCCGATAGTCGGCAATAGACACATATGCACAATAGAAATTTGCATAAGATAAAGGCCAAAGGTTAATTACAGTCTTCTGCACCCCCAGTGGGTGGACTTGCAAGCTAACACTACATTTCAAGCAAAATAACAGAAGAACATAACTCCTACGCGGCACGTGGGCTTCCGGCTGGGCGGCCTCGGGTGCTTCTGTCTCTGCAGCCGTCGACCGGGCGACCTCGGGGGCTTCTGTCTCGGCATCCGTCGTGGTCGTGGCATCCACACCGTCGCTGGGGCCGAAGTTGGAGCCGATCTCCTCGTCGCTGGCCTCCTCATTGCCATCTAGGGGCAGGCCGTAGGAGTCCTTTGGCACCTCCTTCCCAGTCTCCTCCCGCTCCTTGAACAACTTGTCGACAGCGGCATAGGAGGCAATGTCGCTGACTTGGGCGCCGATCGCCTCCAAGAGCGGCTCCAGATCCGCACCCACACCAGCCCACCGGCTAGCCAACTCGTCCAAGCTCACCTCTAGATACCAGGAGAGGATGAAGCTCAGCGTCAACTCCATGCTAGCCAGAGGCACGGAGGCCCTCCATGCATTGACGCGGTCCGACGCTATTGCCAGCCACCAGGCCAGCCGGGTGACAGTGCTGGGCAATGCCGCGGTCGGCCAAAGGTTGCGCACCAGCTGCAGACCTGCATCGCGGAGCTGGTATAGGAGGTGGCCAACTGGCGACAACCGGGCCTTAGAGGCAAGGACGATCTCCTCCACCATCCATGTTGGGGAACGTTGCATGGAAAACAAAAAAATTCTACGCACATGCAAGATCTATCCATGGAGATGCATAGCTACGAGAGGGGGAGAGTATCTACAAACCCTTGTAGATCTCTAAGCGAAAGCGTATATAACGCGGTTGATGTGGTCGTACTCTTCGCGGTCCGATCATGATCCAACCGATCTAGTGTTGAATGGACGGCACCTCCGAGTTTAGCACACGTGCGGCTCGATGATGTCTCCTCCTTGATCCAGTAGAGGGAGAGGAGAAGTAGATGGGATCACAACCAACACGACGACGTGGTGGTGATGGTGGTGGTGGAGCACCGACAACGCTTCGCTATGCGTCGTCGGGACAAGGCGGTGGAACTACGGAGTAACAAGAGAGAGAGAGGGGCGCCAGGGGCTTTGTGTGTCCTCTTGGGGCGCCCCCTCCGCTCTATACATAGGTGGAGGGGCGTGGGGAACAACCCCTCCAAACCCTAGGGCTCAGCTAAGGGGGGAGGAGGTGGAATCCTAGTCCTCCTCCTTCCCTTCCATACAAAAGTGGACTTTTCACCTTTCCCAACTGCATGGGCCTTGAGGGACTTGTGTGCGCCTGGCCCAATAAGACCAGGGCGCCTCCCCTCAGCCCATGCTGACCCTTGGGATGCGGTGGAGCCCTTGGTGGACTTCCGGACTCCTCTAGAAGTTTTCAGAAGCTTCTGGAAGCTTCCCGGTACAATACCGAAAAAACTGAAACTTTTTCTGGAACCCTGAAAACAACTTTCCATATATAAATCTGAAAACAGACACCATCGGAGATACCTGTAGAGCACCTGTATGATCAGCCAGTTACAAAGTGACGTTTGATAGCACACAAGGTATTCTTCGGCTATCCGGGAGTTGCATGATCTCATGGTCGAAGGAACAGATACTTGACATGAAGAAAGCTATAGCTAACTGTTGGGGAACGTAGCAGAATTTTAAAATTTTCTACGCATCACCAAGATCAATCTATAGAGTTATCTAGCAACAAGGGGAAAAGGAGTGCATCTACATACCCTTGTAGATCGCGAGCGGAAGCGTTCAAGAGAACGGGGTTGATGGAGTCGTACTCGTCGTGATCCAAATCACCGATGACCGAGCGCCGAACGGACGGCACCTCCGCGTTCAACACACGTACGGTTGGGAAGACGTCTCCTCCTTCTTGATCCAGCAAGGGGGAAGGAGAGGTTGATGGAGATCCAGCAGCACGACGGCGTGGTGGTGGAAGCAGCGGGATTCCAGCAGGGCTTCGCCAAGCGCTACTAAAGGAGGAAGAGGTGTCACGGGAGGGAGAGGGAGGTGCCAGGGCTTGGGGTGCGACTGCCCTCCCTCCCCTCCACTATATATAGGGGCCAGGGGGGCGCATGCCCCCTTGGAGATCCCATCTAGAGGGGGGGGCGGCGGCCCCCGGGGGCAACGGCC